TGCCGAACACGAAATTCCGACTTCTTATTCCCGGAAAATTCGTCAAATGTACGCTCTCGTTATCGGAGACCTCCCGCGTAATAAATGATTCCACATACCTGGAAATGTGACGTATCGCTGCCGGCGTTCTGCTTCTCGACTGCTGAATTCCTCCGGATTTCACTCGCTCATGCTTCTAATGCTGATACTCGCGATTCGACCGTGCAGTTAATGACTGAGATGCCGACGCGATGCCGATTGAGTATCTCGAGGACCGACGAGATATATTTCTTTTAATTACACGAGACGGAAGTGACGAGAGCGTCGCGCACGGCTGCTGCTGATGGAATGAGGTCGAATACATGCGGTGCGCAAATATTATAATACGAAGGGCAAAAAGTGTCGTCGTTCGCGAGCCGATCAACACAATCGGCGCGACGTAAACATTGCGGGCCTCGGCGGCGGTTGAAGCAAAAGAGAGACTTGCCTTTGAGCGTCTCTTGTTTTCTCGAAGGTTTCGGAACGACGAGGGGAATGCGAGGAGGCCTTTCAACTGTACGCTACATTGATGCATTCTATTTATTGATTACTGAAAATAAAGAAAATTACTCTGTCGAAGCATCGGACATTTGTTAGCTTTATGTTAATTAAAGAGGAATGTATACGATTAGAAAATGTGTTAGCAACTAATTTTACAGAGTGTAAGTTGTTGTGACGCCGTTTTCAGAGAATAATTAAAAGTCATGGTAGCGTTAAAGAATGGAATTTCATCCTATGCGAATTTAGTCGCGCTCTTATTAAATATTAGTCCTGTATAAAATGTCGTATTTAAAAGTATTGTTTCGTATTCACGAGATTTTGTCGTGAATTCTGCTCTCAGATTGGATTGCGAGTGAATACTTTTTAATGCGACGGGGAATAGAACGTGAAAATCTTGTATGCCTCTGAATCCGAAAACGATTAGGAGAAGAAGTGAATATTTTTCAATACGAAAGTTCGCATTTAAAAATTATCGATTGCGATTGAATACAAGGCATATTTGAAACGAATTGAATCCTTGTTAATTCGAAGCATTCACTACTGCCATCTCGCATTTAGCGCGGTGAAATTAGTGGGAACTAATACTTTTTATTTTCCCTTTCTTCGGATCAGAAAGCAGAATTCAGACGTATTCAAAATGTCAATACTTTTTAATATGTTTCAGTTCGACGTTTTATACAGGGAGATTATCCGCTGCGGACAATAACTCTTCTACTTTTCATTTAATATTCAATGATGATAAATAATATTTAATTGTATTCGTTTGGCTTTTTTTATTTCGAAAATAAGAAAATATATACCGGGGTGAGATTTTACCCATGACAACATTAACGTGATTTTCTTTGATGCTTTTTTTAAAAGTTCAAATATTTCGTCGACTCGCGGGATATTTATAATCGGAGTCTCGTCACGTTAATTACGTGAATAACACGTGCTCCTCCGAGCGGATCGAATGCTCACCGACGGCCACTGTCAGTGCCACGAGCGAATGTCCGGAGCGGACGGGATGCTGAATTAAAAATGAAGACGAAGTGAACGGGACGCGGACAACGATACATCATGCGTCTCCATACATGTCAAATTGTTTATTATAGAAGAGACTTTGATACGGCAATATATATTCGAAGATTTAACATTTAATATGTACTTTTATTTTTTCTGCTCTTCCCCCCCTCTCCCACGCTCTTTTTAGACCACCGGGCATAGTCTGGCATAGAGATGGCAACTGTCATTGCAGCACGGACATAAACCGCCTGAAAGTGGATGTAGCATGGACTTCCACCATATGCAGATTTTACCACCGAGACCTGAAAGTGGATGTACTATCGTAGTTCCCCTCTCGAAATGGATGCAGATGGCGTCCTTTCCCAGTGCGGAAAGTCGGTGTCGCAGAAAATGTCGTATTGGCCGCTCTCAGGTTATTCTCTGATACGTATATCGAGCTATGTTTCATATTTCGGCCACGATATTCCTAAAAGGGCGCTAGTGCACAGCGAAATTTCTCTGGTACGCTAAATCTCGTAAAGCCAACAGTTTTTATAGTATCTCGTCGGTGGTGTAGCTAAAGCAGTCGGTATTATTATCGCTATTCAATTACCTCCGGACCCCTTAGCGCCCTCTTAGCCAATACGAAAATTTCCTCAAAGCTGAGAATCTTTATGTTACCTCGTCGGTGGCTATACACAGTGTCAGTAATGATACAGGCTGGTATGGTCGGGTGCAATCAAAAATAGTCTTTTTTTTTTAAGAACTTCTTAAACTAATGTGCATCTTTAAAGTATAAAACAGCCAGCTATCATATGCATTAGACTTGCGCTATTTCGAAAGTTAACAATCCCCTAGGACCTACTTTCGTTAAAAAGATAGTATCTGTTACTCTTTCAGCAGCATGCTGAAAGCAATTTTGGAACACGAAAACAGTACTACCAGTATTGTTACTTCCATTCCGGAAGATGACTTCATTCGCTACATGTTCATTTCCGGAATGGCTGGCGGCACATTGGCTTGGGTTCGCAAAATAGCTCTGCGTTTTCGGCGATTTCGACTCGTTGAGACGAGTTTTGCGTCGGATTATCATCGTCGAAGGTAAGTATCACGCGCTCATCGTGACGAGATATCGTTCAACAATCACTGTGAAAGAAGATCTTGCAAAATGGCTCGTTGGCAATACCGAGCGTAAAATGACACCTTTAGTAACGCGATGCAATGATTAAGTGGAGATAATGAATTCGTTGCCCTTCATGTTTTCGATCCGTCGCAGGCGTCTCATATGTAAACTACCGTCGTTGGCAGTGCCGAAAAGAACTGTCGTGCTGAAGCATCGTGGAATATTCGTTGAAAATAAACATCTCGGAGGAACGAATTGTCGGGAGCTCCAAGTGAAGCGTTAAACGTCCCGTACGTTATGGCAGCTCGAAGCTCAAGTCGGCGTACTTTACATTTTTAAGCGATCGGACGAGACTCGCGTGCTAATTATCGTCGCAAGTGTCATCAGTAAGTTTCTTGCATTCGTTATTCGTAATATTGCTAATATCTCGCATATCAGAAAAGACATCGTGAAATATTCGGTAATTCGGTAGAAGCACACGACGCATTCTGATTGGTCGGTTCGCTGCGTCGAAATTTCGAATTTTCGAGCATCTCAATCGCGCCGCCATTTTGCTGATAATTACGGAGTTGATCATGGCGCGATTCAAATTCGTGAAACCGTCCCGTATTTTCCACGATTTTGGCTCGATAAAGCGAGTTTCGCGCGCGGAGTGTTGTCGTCGGATGTGTTGAAAGTACACGTTGTGCTTTTTCTACGATGATAAATCGATGAACATCCGCCGAAAGTGGATATCTCGCAAAACGACTCGTTGACGGCACCGAACGGAAAATGACGCATTTATTATCGCGACGTTATTATAACTGTTCAGAGTATAACTCGTTACGTTCTCAGACCTGCCGAAAGAAAGAATTGGTGAGTATCAGTAGAACAGAAGCTAAATATGATGCGATGAACACTTAAATTAGATAATAAAAAGCTACAATAATCTAGAAGCAAAATTTCATCATAATGTCATAGATCTTGAATGCATGAATTTTATTACGATTGTAACAAATATAATTTCCTTCTGATCAATAGGTTGGGATTGCGGATACGCGCGGATCGGACGAGCGGCGAGTTGAAATCGACGAGGAAAGCTGACCGAGATGCCTCAACCACGAAGTGAGTCGAATGTACATTGATCTTCATATATACGAGTTCTTTCTATTCTCGGCAATGTTGGCTACCCCGCAAAAAGCAAACGAGTCGGAAGAAATTTAATTAAAAATTCTCTCAATCCCCTTTGCTTCTTTTTTATTCTAATTGACTAAAACGAATATTGACATCGATAGACATCGACAGAAGATTAACAACCATGTAGAGAGAGAAACGTTACAAGTGTGAATGCGCATTGTTGCGCATCGTTTCTCTGCAATGCGTTACAATGACGAATTCTCGAGATGAGAAGTTCCTGCAACTAACTAAGCAACCGACGAAATATCAATTTCCGTGCCGTTTATCTCGTCTACTTTTCGCGGGAGTTCGGCTCAAATTGTCACACCGTTGTGTGTCGTTGTGCGATGACACGTAAGTCGCGTGTTACAGTCGAATCGACTTTATCTCTATCCTATCGCCTCTAACACGCTCATCGGCATCAGCATAACGGCTCGAGCTGCCGCGACTAGCAAGACGAGACATTAGCACGTGCTCCACGTGCGGAAAGGCGTCACCGCGTCTCCTTATCTCGGCGCCACGCGCCTGCCTCGATTCTATTTACGAACAATAAGCACAATGCTCCTATCACGCCGCAGCCCGCCCGACCAGCGCTGCCCCAGTTTCGCACTTTGTCAATAATGATCGCCTCGGAGACACCAAACAACTGCGGTCGCTCGCTCGCTCGCACGTTTGCTTATTCGCTCGTTTGCTCGCGCCGCACACTTTAAATGCAGAAACGTATCCCTCGTGTTAATATACGACACGACGTTGTCGTCGTCGTCGTCGTCGTCGTCTCGTTTGCCGGTCGATTCCGCACACACTGATACATTTGTTTACGACAACGATCTCACTTAAAATGTGTGCGCAAGCGAGCTGAGACACCGCAGTCACTTCCGCAACACGACGATATCGTCGTGTATATTTCCGCGGAAAATATGGTGAGGATGATACTCGAGAATCTAGATGAAAACGCCGTAATAGAATCTAATGCGGTAACTTGTAATTGTGGCAATCGAGCGCATAAAGGACGGCGCGTGGAAAATCGCGTGGCGTCACTTGAAATCGGAATTTTACGAGTTACGTCGATGTCGTAGTTTTTTTTATATCTTTCATTCCCTTCTTCCGTGATATTTCCGCGGCTGTGTTGTCCGAAGGAATAAGAGCGAGGCAAGACAGAAATACGTTTGATTAAGAGCACACGCACGTACATACTACACGCCGGTAATACTAATTAACGCTACAAAGCTGTTTCTGTCGGCGAGACAATATTAATGTTATCGTCGGCGGACTTTTCCTTTTTCCTGCGTGTCCTAACAGGTTGCAGAGAAACGATGCGCAAGTAGCTCAATTCTCGCGCCCTTTGATGTTCCTCGATAGTGATCTTGTTTAACAGAAAGGGGCCGGTACTCATCATACCGATGGCGCCGAGCGGCGCCAGGAATACAACGGCGATCACTGATATCCTCACCACGTCGAGGGCTAATTCGATTTTCGCGGGGTCGCCTTCTTTTCTAGCACGCTCGAACGCCATCGGCGCTAACGCTGCCTGAATTTCGAAACGTTATAACATCAGTTGTACGCTCTTTAATTTATGATATACAACGGAATTCGCGAAACGGATGTAAGCTCGCGGGAAACATGATTTAAAATGAGCTTTTACCTGTAGCGTGCCTTTCGGCACCCAAGATACAGCGACAAAGAGACGCTCTTTCCATGTAAAAGGCATCCTCAACGTCGTTAGGAAGGCCGTGGTGCTACGCACCTAAATGTAGAGAATTTAGAAAATTGCACGTGAAATTTGTCTACGACTTAGGTGGGGTAAAATGTCGTCGTTGCAAGATAATTCTGAGACTTGGTAATTTTATAATAAATGAAAGTAAAGAAACATAAGATTATGTAATAATTTGGCAGGATTATAATTTACTAGAGATCAGACGAGGAAAGGAGAAAAAAGATTGGCCGATTAATTTAATTTAATTTAACTTTTAGGATTAAATTTCGTTTATAAGAACTCAAAATTCCTTTCAGCCAAAACCTAGTTCACCATCATTTTCACCATCGTTTGACCGATCAACCGATTTTTCTTCTCCGTGTCATTTCTTACATCATTTTACGTTAAATTATTTCTCGTACTTTTATCGGAATCATATATACGGGTTACATTGCCTGAAAAGATTTACCAATACTCCCACGAGCGTACAAACGAGATACATCCCGAATCTGGATATAACCCAGTGCTGGAAATCAATATCGGCACCGATCACTCCTCCTAAGATCGGTTGCATAAAGTGCCAGAGGAAAAAGAATACTTTGCGAAAAGGCGTTACCTGCAGCACGAGGAGAATAAGAAAAATCGATTTTCCATCTTCCTTGATGTAAATATATCCATAAGAATAAAGCACGGAGCGAGTCAGCAACGATAAGGACTTTTCAATGCGTGTATATTTGGGTGAATTGCTTACTCGCAATTTATATCGTAAAATTATATAGTCTCTATGGATACTTACGTCGTGCGAAACCGATAAGATTCGCCATCCATAAGTGGCTATAAATGATAATATGATGGTAGCGAGATATCCTCCACCTGTAATCGTCAGTTTCGATGCCGCTGTGGTGCACATTAAAGATGCGAGAACTAAACCGCCAATCCGATACCACGTCGCGTATTTCTGCGCAACATAAAACTAGGATATAGATAATAAGTCGTATATGAAATGTTTCTTCAGACTTGAAAATCTTCGTTTTATATGTAGCAAGAATACCTTTTTAGGCTAATTTCACCGGACGGAAAATGCAAAATTCAGAAGGAATTCTGAAAATTCCGCGATACTTTAATCCCCCTTTAATCCACTTAATCCATTTTATATCCCGCAAAGGACGAAATCAAGAATTATTTCCGTCTAAATAAATATTAATCGGTCATACAGTTGTACTACCATATAACGAGCCGCGTGTCTCTGCGGATCGTCTATTTTCGTAACGCATGAGCGATATTTTAATAAAACATCGCGGAGAAAGGTGTTAATAAGTTCGCTCTTGTTAGTTTAGTTCACACAAACGCGCACTCGTGCGAACGTGACCTGAATTTCGCGAGCTCTTGGACGCGCGGAAATGAATAAAGTACCTACGTGATTGCGATGAGGGAAAAAGGCCAGGGCAAAGCCCAAGATAATTCCCGCTATGACTCCCAGGAGGAAATCTCGAATCCCGCCGGGGATATAGGACCACCATTCTGTTCTCCTGTCATCTAGGAAGATGTATGGCTCACTTTATGGAAAGCTCTTTGTACGTTTAGGCCTTTTTATGTTTGCTCACTACCACGCAACGGCATTTGGTGTCACAAAGCGCTGATGCATCAGATATAGAAAAGTTGTTAAATACTTAAGCCCCGTATATTTCACAAAATACCGAAATACGCGGTTCTTCACGAAACGCACAGACAGTTCTTGCTCCTCGCGAATTATTCGTCCTTTGAGAGCCTGCGGTATATAGTTAACGAGAAGTAGCATAAGAAAGATATTTGCTCGTCCTATCTTTTATTTTTGAAAATTTTACTCGTGAAAATTTCGCGGAATTTTGCTCGCGTACGGTATCCCGTTTGCTCGAGGGATTAAAAGCGAGAAGTAGCGGGTTTTAGCATGCCATTGCGGTGCTTTACGATTTTCTTACGGTTCTTGTATTTATCGTCGCTGAAGACGAAAGAGAAGCAAATGGAGAAGAGGGACACGATATGCACGTCATCGATGGAAGCCGCCGTGCATAGTAAGCTGGCCAATCCTTTGTCTTCTCCATAACCGCGTTCAGCTAAGGCGAGCATGCAGTTGACCGTTACTACGGGGGACATGCAAGCGACGATCGTCCTTGAAGAGAACTTATTATTGCGTAAATCTTCCTTATGCGTTTGTACACGACGGGATAAAAATTACTAATCCAGTTAATGGAGCTTTAAACCTCTTGAGCAATGTACCGCGCAACGTGTACATTCCTAATTTTTCTAAATAAATGAATAAGAAGTGAAAGTGTTTCGACTAGCATAAGTAACCGGATGGATATAGTAGAAATCCTGTCTTATAGTAGAAAGCTCGATCTCTTGTTTCAGTAGGATAACTTTCCTCAATGTCAGGGGCCGTGAATGCCACTCACCCTGTCATAAAAGCCCAATTCCACGGATATTCGAGGAGATATCGACACAAGACGCTGACCGTCAATGTCTCGATGGAGCACGGGACGAGCGCTAGGATTATCACGAACACCGGATGCTCCCTCAGAGCGGTTGTCGTCAGCTGGAGGCCGGCACGTACCATGATGAAGGTCAAGCAGAAGGTCCTGATCTTGGAGGTCACGCCCGGCCCGAGCTCGTCGTGTATATTGTAGACGTCAGTGTTGCGGAGTATTATGCCGGCAAGCAGCATGCCGAGGATAGGCGGTAGATGCAAGTAGGGAATGCAAGTGAGGCTCCAGCCGAGCGCGTAGGAGAAAATGATCAAGACGAAAAGACCGAAGATGCTACCGCCGGGTAACACTACGTCGCCCAGCAGGAAGTACAAAACAGCCCAGGCCAGCAGAGTCAAGCCGCTCGCAGTCGCGAGCCAGAAGAGATCCGCCCAAGTCAGCCGTAGGTCGAAGCACGTGGAGATCACGTCGGTCACGATGATCTCCCGTAACAGCGGGTTGCAGAAGGTCGCACGGTGGCAGCAGGTGTTGTCATCCCATTCCTCGTCCTCATCTGTCTCATTTGTCACTTGGCTCAGTCTAGAACGTGATCAATACAATATGTATTCCTCATTGATGTTAGGACAATGTATCATCATCACCTACTGTCATTTGATTATGTTACATCTCGCGAATATGATTCACTGATGTTTCAACGCGATGAATTGTAGAATTATTCGCACGTTGTTTCATTCTCACCTCCCTCGTGCATCATCCGATTGAGTATTCGCGGAAGTGGATGCAGTTGGTTCATTTTTAGAAGTAGGTTGCATAGGATATAACAGCGCCCACTTTGTCCACTCGTAACGATGCGACTACAAAAGCTTCATCAGAAGCTAGAAATGAAGTTTGTTGTTGGTTCTCACTATGTACGAGAAAACGTTCACATTATTGTCGTAAATTCGCCCACGAAAAATACACAAATGTATACAGAAGCGATACGCGGACTGACACATCTCGACTAACTTCGCGTATTACGTCTGAGAGGGCACATTCACTATAATGCTTACCTTGTTTTTCTTGGCGAAATGCTAGAAAAAAATAAAGTAAACATTACACAGTGAATGTATCTCTCTAAAATGAAAATAAACACAAAATGGCACAGTGACGTTATTAATGCTTCGATTGAAAGGTGCGCATTAATCTCCAAGCGGCGAGCAAAATCTGAATATAATAAATGGTTGTGACGAAATCCCGCTAAAATTACGTTTTATCGATCTGTTCGCAGGTGCATCACACCGTCGAGTGTTTTGAATCGTCCCGGGCCGGTCTCCGTTATTCTTTCGGACGCGGCGCGGCGGCGGCGGCGGCGGCGGCAGTCTCATCTCTAAATGCAAATAGAAGCTATTACCCGGCGATGTACCCGCTCTTAATTTATTCCATAATCGAGACGTTCTCGCGAAATATTCACGTTTCTACCTACGCGCCGGTGGAAATATCCTTTCCGATGACGACAACGACGACGACGACGACGAAGTCATCGAGTTGGTGTGCCAAGCAGAAAGAGAAGCCCCGGCAAGAGTATGATAGACACTGCGACACGAACGGGAGAGCGGGAGAAAACGAGAGGCTTTAAAAGGGGCAACCGACTGTTCGGAGGGCTTCAAAGGATTCCGCGGATATTGAATAATTCCAGGTACGCGTCGTCTTATGAAATATTCCCGGTTAAAGCATAACTTTACGCCCGACCAGCCGGGATATCGCGTTTTGCCGCGAAGTAATTACGTCGGCGTCCGAATAATCGCGCGCCTATCGCTCTGCTCACGGCGATTATTCTTTTGTATATATTATGAGAGTTTGATATATATATATATATATGTTCCGTCCGCGATCTTAAATATACGGCTTTATTATCGAAGTGAGGCGAAGTAAACGCGTGCGCGCGTGCACACAACCGCCCCGAAGATTCACCGCGAACGTAGCGCGGGCATATAACTTTAACGAGTCGCAATTTTTCACGGCGGGCAGTAAAGAAAAATTGTTACGAAAATCCTACAGTAAGAGAAATGGCGCACGTCCCATGAGAGCGCCCGTAGGAAGTAGGTTTTAGTATCTGAAATCGAGTTACCTCTATGTAGGTCGCTTATGATCGTATCACGAACTTTCAGAGCCGCCGAAATTCACCACGTTAGTGGAGGATGACGGCTGAATGGTCAAGGAGCGAAGTACGACGGGGCTGAGAGCGAACGAGAATCAGTAAACGAGGCCTGAAACTGCCAGTTTCTTCTCCACGTCAGTTCGCGGTACACAAGATGGCTTAGGATTATACACACAGTACGTACAATGTTGAATATTCAGTCTGCTCTGTTAATCACCTATTGAATGGTGTCTCTCTTTTTGCAAAATTTTTTTACAGTCTCTTTTACTTTGATTCAATTGGAATTGCTCGTCTGTCTTGGCAAAAGATTTTTCTTGAGTCAGTTATCATGATTTTCGCTACATGAGAGTTTTTTAATCCTTACAGATAACTCTAAAATTCAAATTTTATTTAATCAAATCAATAAATTTCAAATAAAAAAAATTACTAAAATGTAATGTAAATTCAAAAAAAGTTCGAGTTAGACAATTTTGTCCAAATGTAATTTAAATACAAAATAAAGTTCGTCGCGTCTCATGATAGCTGTTTGAAGTTTCATAAAGTTTTTTCGATTATTCTCGTTGATAAATCGAGCGATCTTTATGATTCAGCATTTGTATCAAGAATATATTGATTCCGAATGGGTCAAAGAATCTTATTATACGCGAATGGTAATCTACGAGGAAACCTTGTCCATTTGGACCTTCTCATCCGAAAGACTCACAAAAACATCGGATGTACGTATCAATGGTCTATAAAGCTTAACTATTCGCACAACTAACTTGGCGATCTGGTACGCGCGCCAATAACGTCGCCTATTCCCCTTACGACCTCACCAACCCCCTTTTGCACCTACCCCCTCGTTTCTCCCCTACGCGCGCATTCTCTCAACCCCTCTTGCCCCATTTACCCTCTCCAGTGGCCGCGGTTCGCCTCCACCGACGCTTCCACCCCCGTGAGAATATTCAGTTCGCGAGCGATGCTCGCCGCGACCATGCCGAAATTTTGATTGGTCCGCTCGGTTTTTTTAATACGACTAGCGAAAACCGGCTTGCCGATTTTTCGTAAATTTCGCGACTTCGTGCATATCGTGCGACCGGAAAAAAAAAACACGTTCACATCGAAGCAGGTGTAAATCAACCCCTGAGATTCTCGTGTGCGATCTGTGATCGATATGGTGGAATAATATCGACTGGACACTTCGGATTCACACGTGGTGAGTTTTTCCCCCATCTGTGAATTTTAGGAGGTAGAAAGCGCATAATTAAATATAAAATTCTTTAGTGGATCATACAATCATAGATATATCGATAGATGTGTTATTATTGTTGCATGTAAATGTTTGAACGTTTATCGAATAGTGAGTTGCGAAGAACATTATTTATTTCGCAATTCTGCATTTCCGACATAAAATACTTTGTGGATTAAATTGCAGATTCAACCCGCATTTTTCCATAAATTCGACTCGCAATTAATTGGACAGAATGTTTTCCCCTGCATTTTACCCCTGCATAAAGCACCATTCTTCCATCTCTCTTTCATAACACATTATAACATGTGGCATTGAACAATATTGACACACATAGAGGACGGGAGGTGCGCGAAAACTTTTTCATACGTATGAAAAACCCGGAGAATATTTTTCGCAAAATTTTCGTGCACTCTGCCGAAATGCCGCAATCCGCGCTTTAATCGGCCGTTTTGCTCGTTAGCGTTATAGCTAGTTATAACAACATAGGTGATTGGTTCGGCAAACAAAGAGACAACGGCAAAGTTGCGCGGCGTAAATATAATTATGCGCGAGTGGGATTGTTAGCGGGAATAAGCAAACACACAGTGCTCCACTTTAACGCGGTTAATCTGTCGCAATTGCAAAAACGCGCGTTACTGCCCCGCTCGTCGCCCGGCATTATCGCGCTCGAGCACTACGCGCGCTGTGTTGCGCGAACATGGCGCTACATGCTGATTTACGCGGCGTCAAAACTGTTAGAGCGGATGAAGTATGCATGAGTTCGGCTTAAAGTTTTGGCTGCTCTTCAAGACGTAATACATTTCCGCCACGTATTGGAGATCACCGGCCTTTCAAATCGGCCGTCCGTCCGTTCTCACGCTCATTGCAGTTCTCGCTACTGATCAAATAAGACCGATAAGAGCATGTTATCGGACGCGACTCTCACAAGACCGAACCGCTTTCAGCGATACCGGAGGTATCCGAAGGCGTCTCGTGCGATATGCTAAGTACACGTGTCCGCACTCGAGGGGGGACACGCGTGTTTTCTACGTGTCTTATTAATATTCCGAAACGTCCAAACCGCATTGGCATTATGCTCCGTCAGCTCGTGACGATCATCGACAGTGATCGCGTGTGCAACCTTCAACGGCTGTCGCCGATAGGTGGATCATCGTGACATCATTAACGGATCGGTGAAAACGGAAGTGGTAATAAACGAGAGAGAGAGAGAGAGAGAGAGAGAGACCGTCGAGATCTCGTAATTAGCTCGCTTATAGACACGCGCGTTTCGGGCCACGCAGGGCGAGGGATTGCACACAGACAGAGGCAGGCAGCAGCGACGGGTCTTTGACCTTAGAGCACGAGGGCCGGGGGCGGGGTGGCACTTAAATCAGCGGTATTGGATTTGTGTCCGACTGGGAAAATAGCACTCTTGGAAAATGAATATCTATTTTGATTGTTGAAGCGACGCAGTCAGTCGTACCGATGGGTAGTCCGCCGTCAAGTGGATTTAAGGTTATTGAACTTGTTCATTGATCCCTCTCTATGCACAGGCATATCCACCACCATTGCAACACCACCACGAACAACCGCGGAGCACTCGCCGCCGCCGTCGTCGCTCGAGTTTGCAACTCAGTCGACTTCTATCTACCTCTTTGCACCTACGACGCTGCTGAATTCTCAATGCGCGCGCACGAACGCGCGTAAAAATGCGTTAATCCGATTCGGAGTGCTACCTGTTTGCGCATCGGTACCCGCGAGGGTAACGGTGCATTATGCAGCGATCAGCATGCTCACGTCACCGTTCTATTTAATTTGGAGCTTTCTCTCTCTCTCTCTCGGCCCGCGGCGATATGTGTGTTCGTCTAGCATGATTAATACCGTTCTGACGTAGAATTAACGGTGCGAGTCGAGAGCGCCGCGTCGGCCGCGGGCTCCAGCCGCGGCGCGGGGAGAGGGGCAGGTCTTATTTCTGTCAGTTTCGATCGTTATTAATTTCACCTCTCGGATTTAATTTGGGAATTTCCCGGTGCAACGACCGTGAGCGCGGAAAACATTACGCCGGCGGTCTCGCGAGACGCCGCGGACAACACGTCGACTGTGGATTTATACCGTTCTCGCAAGAACATCGCGGGAAGTATCGCTTGTTGCGGCGCACCTCGCTACGCCGATCGTGGAATTTATGGCGGCGTTAAATATTTATTTAATCTTAATGATTGAACATTTATTGAGGGATCAAATTCGCGACGATCTCTCTCCCTTCCTCTCTCTTTCTCTCTCTCTCCTCTTGTCGGATAGTTTGCGCGTTTGATGGCCAAATCATGACATATTTTTGTTCAATTCCCGCTTTTTATTCTCTCTCTCTCTCTCTCTCTCTCTCTCTCCCCCTCTATTTCGACGATAATTCTCCATTCTTGCCGATCTCCAGCACTAACAGATTCGCGACAGTAGTATAGAGCGCAATATGGCCGAAATTCCTGTGGCGCGAATCCCGCCGACCGCGCGAGCGAGATACGATTTCCGTAGGGTGCTGAATAACCAAGGCAAGATATATTAAATGATACACGCGCCGTTCGCGAGCAGTGCACCGCGACCGTTTCGTGCGTTTCTCCGCCGAGAGAGCCGAGCGCATGCTGTCATATGCACGGCGGTGTTTCCATACTCCGCGACCGGCGAATCGTGTATTCGTGTTCGCGTATTCGTACCTGTGCATGTGCACACGGATAATACGAGGAGCATGCTTTTAGTTTACGCGCGCGTACAACAACCTCGCGCGCACTTGGAGCGCGCGTATTTCGCGCGCGGACGTGTTGTATTTGCCAACAGCGCGTGTCGTTCGTATTGAAGCTGCGTCCAACTCGTTCGCGCCGAGGAAGAAGTTGCAGCGCGATGAGTAGCCGACGTGGATCCGGCATCTTTCATCTGCCGACGGGCGTAAATCGCGAATAATCACGCGCGCCAGCTGTCGCGCGTGGATGTCGCGTCGTGAACGCGATCAAGAGAAAGAGAGAAAAAGAGAGAGCGCGTATTTCATCCGATCATTCCGATCAACGGCAATCGTCAGCAACGCGATAGGCCTTTCTGTCGGATTAGAGACGTACATTATCGCGAATCGCGCGTCGGCTTTTCCACCGTCGTCGTCGGCGAGCCGATACTCGCGCGTTGCCTGAAATCATATCACGCAGCAGATGCAACGTCGAATTACCCGGGAAAAAAAGGGGGAGAGCGACAAGAAAAAAAAAGAGAAAGGAACGGAGTGCATATCGAGCGCCATCGGAACGACCCCTCGCATCCGAAATGGCGAAAATTGAATTCGCGGAGACAGTGACAGGTATTCGATACAGGAAGCCCGAGCGCGGCTAATGGCCAACGCGTTCGCCGGCGTTCACGACGGCGTTCGCGACCTGGCACGGACGAGGGTGTAGTCTTCTTACGTCGGGATACAATCTCGTCCCGATATCGACCTCGCTTTCTCTCTCTCTCTCTCTCTCTCTCTCTCTCTCTCTCTCTCTCTCTCTCTCTCTCTCTCGCTCGCTCTCTCTCTCTCTCACTCTCTCACTCGCTCGCTCGCTCGCTTTCTCGCTCTTCTCCGCCCTCGCGCTGAAGATACACTTGACACACTACGTTTCGATTGTCAAAAATTCAAAAGCCATACGCCGCGACTCACCTGAATTCTGCATGATGATGCTATTTCCTCGCGTCGCCTCGGTGACACAAGGCGAATTCCTAGAGTTTCCACTTCAACTAATCGCACCCGAGTCCGGCGTGTTCGACAAACCGTTAATCGTTTCAATTCGAGGTGATTCGCTAGATCTCTAGGCGCAGGCAACGTCTCAGGCTGATATGTTCTCTTCGAGACGCTCTTTGTGGGACCGCCGTGTAAATTAGCGGGCGAATGAATTATTAAGTAAATCACGTAATGTACCGTGAAATATTGTGTTTTAGCGTGCCGTCGAATATTTCCTCGAAAGTTCCTGAAAGATTGAGGCATCAGTCGATAACTCGCATCAGAGATTATCGCGTTTAAATAGGTCAATCTATAGAGACAACGTTCACCGAGCAGAGGCTGATTCAATTTGTCTCGGCCGAGGGACACTAACGAAACTGATCGTTACGGAGAGAATCACTTCGGTGTTTAGCAAGTTAGGCAGCTTGCAGACGTCGCATCGGAATGCGACAGCCTCCGCAAGAAGTGCCGACGTGCCACGGCCATCGGCCGTGTATAAATTGGGAAAAAATAGAGAAATTGGAAAAATATACGTGACTGTTTGAGTCGCAATTTAATAGAGGATAAAAGCAGAAACTGCGATCGCGACTGTCAAGCTCGGAGGGGCAGCTCGCGATAAAATGGGCGAAAAAAAGCGGAGACAAATTTTCCAGCGTTTCGGTTGACTTTTTTACGAGGAAGATTGCCGACGCGTCTCGTTGCGAGCGATTCCGCTTCGCGCGCCATCAATTTGCCGACCCGCGTCGCTTTAAACGCAAATTATCGTCGTGCACGTGAGTGAGTCAATTCGCGGCGCGTTTGCGGCGAGACGTCAGTCAAATAATGACAGCGAGCAAACACGACGAAACGCTAAACTATTTTGCGCGACTAGCTGGCTACCATTAATTATCCAGCGGTTGCCGTCGCGTCTCGCCGACGCTCTTGCTACTTCCCTGCCGCCGGATTGTTTGATTTTCTATTTGTCGATAATCGAAAAACCTTTACAAATACGATATACTGTTTTCGCACGGAGGAAGCGTAACATTCCGTTTCGTGCCG